AATACAAAGTAATTACGGGATAAGAAGCAAGTTTCCTGTAGTTTTCTTCTTTTGTTTGCCTTCTAATTCTTGTTACAGTATTCAGTGTTGAATTAAGCTGGGACTTGCAAGCTTAGTGGCAAGATAAAAGGGAAAAACCTCCTCCAGGACATGTAACCAGGGAACGATTCTGAATGCTGTGAGGATGGTAAATATTACACCACTTACAAATGTTCACTCACAATCTCATCCTCAGGTCGTACAAAGCAACCTTAACAATCAACAGTTTTGAGGAACATGGTGACGGCGGTGGAAATCTGAGTGTGACCACCATACCCTTCAGATGACGACCCTGTAGTGGCACTTTCAACAGGATGGTACAATAAAGGAAGTCGATGCTTAAAGTATATTAACATCTATGGTAACGGGAAAAGTGTAAAGGCCAAGGTAGTTGATGAGTGCGATTCTACAATTGGAGGTGATTCAGAGCATGATTATCAGCCTCCATGCCCTAACAATATTGTTGATGCTTCAAAAGCCGTTTGGGAAGCCTTGGGAGTGCCTGAGAAAGACCGGGGCGAAATGGATGTCTACTGGTCTGATGCTTGATTTTTAACCTTTAAAATCACTATTAATTCAACCGTAAAGCTTTAATAAATGGGTAGTCATTGACGTCCATCCGAAACAATAGTTTGTCAACTCACGGTTAGCAAATGTTAATTACTAGTTCTTAGTTCAAATAAATGTTTGTCTTAGCCAGGGTACTCAAAACTTGGGAACCCGATTCTTAAGTTTGTGTTAAACTTTCTTCCTCTTTCTGCATAAGGTCGAGTCAAAGTTGTGTTGATATGTAGCAAATATATGAAGAAGTAAAATTGTGAAGCTTCATTTTGTTCGTGATTTATACTTTCTCTAAAGATGATTTTTTATCTATAATTAGTTAACTATGTAGCCTAAAGAGAAAAAGAACCCAAGTGCAAGCTTGAGAAATATGCACACACAGACAATCTAGCTATAACTTTTTAAGCCAAGTTTAAACAGCATACTGAACTGAACTGAACTTTACTAGTCTATAGAGTTAAAGCTAACCATATACTCAGAGGCATAAAGCTGCTAGTTGACAGTATCTTGGAATTTCATGAGCCAAAATAGGGGAAGTCATGTCATGACTACAAATCGGGAAAAAAAAAAAAAAAAGGCGCTTAAAGCATTAATTAATCTTCCAAACATATTAAAACAGATGTAGCCATCCAAAAATGAAGAGTTTAACATGATCAGAGCTTCCTTTAGTAAGATGATTAGCAGTAGGTTAGTGGGTGTACCAAAATTAGTGTTGCTGCCTCATTCACTGGCTAAATAAGGTTCTAAGATAGATAGAAACAAGATGGGAGAACGACATGCTCCCACCCAAGGTTCGACGAAAAGACACTTTCCCATCCGCCAACTTTCAAAACGACACTTTCCCACTTACCGTTATGTTCCGTCATGAAAATCTGTTCTTTTAACATGTATAAACAGTGTAAAGACAAAACTACCCTTCTCTTTTTTCTTCTTTCTCCTTCGTAAAAGAGGCTGCCGATTTGCACCTTACCCTGAAAGCCTGACTTTGCTTTAGGTTCACTAGATTGTGTTACAATATTAACATTGCAACAAAAAACTGATTTTAAAAACGAATCATCCTTTCCAAAGCTGAAATGGTACTAAAATATTTATGTTAAAATGACTGTGGAAGCTTGAACATAGAACTGGATTTTCAGAAATATGAAGCAAAACTTTCATGCAGTATAGTAAGACGATTAGTGCGGTGTTACACCTTTCGAATTCTGAACAAATGAAATTATGTTTTCCACAAGTTATTCTGATCAAGATGGAGCTCTTCGAATCATTCTCAAACTAAAAATTTCAAGCAAAAGTTCTCTACTTGAAAAACTACACTAAAATTAGAAAGGGAGATAAAAAGGCAAAACTACTCTCTTTGACATAATACAACTTCAGAGCAACAACGGTCTTCCCTTTCTCAGACAGAATATATAGAAGACTACCAAAATTGGGTGCACAACCACTGTGCATCAGCATATCAATGCGTCCAAGGGCTTCCTCAACATGACCTCTCATGAGAAGAGCTTCCAATACCTTGGCGACCAAATCGCATCCGGCCAAATCGACGCGGATCTGGTGCGATTCCCTTTTTACCATCACTTCTCTGATCCCATCAATTCCCCAACAATTCAATAAACAGAAAACAACCCGTTTTCCCAAATAACAACAATATAATGCCAAATCTGGGCAATTGGTGGGGGAGGGGAAATGACGAAAGTGATATCATTTGGCAGAGAGAGTAGTGTGTCTTGAGTGAGAAGGAGAGAGAGTTAACTTGGCAGATGAATTGAGCATAGGTGAGAGCTTGACCGATAATGGCGTTGATAGGAAAAGTTGTGGAGAGCGGCAGTGGGGTGAGGAAGGAAGCGTTTGATTCTGGGTATTTTTTTCAAAAGTTTACGTATAGGAGATAAAATGACATAAATACCCTTGATCTGGTTTTTAAATTTACCATTCTATCCTTTTTTTAGTTAAAGTTAACGGACTGGATGGGAAATGTCGTTTTGAAACTTAATGGGTGGAAAATTGTCATTTCGCCAAACTCTGGTGGAAACAGTCGTTCTCCCAAACAAGATATATACTGTTGCATAGTTATCTGTCCCACTAAAGTTTTAAGTACCACCCTTTGGACGAACGTGCTAGCTCTAGGATTATAGAAATTTGTCTAAATATAAAACAAAACTGCTTTAAATTCCCCCAGTGTTCGGCTTAGCTAATAATAAATCAACAATGTGTCGACGATGGTTGCTTTGCTTCGTGAAAAACATTCCTGTACTTAATAAATAACAAATCTCATGAGAATATGATAATTATGCTGCCGCCACAAATCACATCTAATACTAAATGCAAAAGTAATGGTAGTCAATATGCAAACACTTAAAACATGATTCCAGACTTCCAGTTGTTCTTATCCGAGATTCTTTCAATATGAATTAATTGGAAACCACCTTCTTTAGTTGGGCCCAGGAATTGGGTTTTAGCCTTTAGGGGCCTCACTTGGGCTTGGGGTGCGGTGCAATTTGATTGTTAGACTCCAGATTTCCTTCGTAAAGCCTGGAGAAAATATAATGTAGGCTCAGAGAAAAGTTTTTGCGAGCCATGACTGTCCAACGCAATCTTAAACCCGGAAAATCTCATCAAATGGATCAATAATGGGATTCAATTCCAGCGTTGATTTTGCTATAGAACACCAGATTTATATAAATTAACCTTTGATTTCTAGGTTATGCATAACTGTTTACATAAGTCCCAACTTCCACGATGACTAAACCAAAAACACAAGAAGCTTACACCAGAACTTTACAAGAAAGTGCCAATGACTGAAACTTGACTAATTGGCAAGAGACACTTTGCAAGAAGACCCCTATAAACCCATTCACATTTCACAACATACTATCTGTTCTTGATGGAAGGCGTCGGAAGAAATTAATAGGTGCAGAGGGTGTCTTATGCCTGATCCTGGGATGCCTCATCACATAAAACCCGGCTAGAAGAGCAAACACCTGGAAAGGTGTCACATACAACACAATTGCAACCAACAGACAGAATAACAGAAATATGGTTGTTGCACGAGGATCACGCCAACTCAACAATGCCTGAAACCGCTCTCCTTGAGTAGCCACATCACCAACCACTGTCTGTATCTTCCCAGCCACACTCCTCAGCCTGTCATACCTCATCCGAACTATATCTGGACTTCGTGTTGTTGGAAATGTATCAAATTCCTCATCTAGCTCATCTGGGTGCACTGCTTCCGCATAAGAGATTCTTGTGTTCATGTGAGGAGGATATCTTGGTCGAATACGATAATTCCAAAGCCCAATCAGAAACATGTACAGAAACACAGTAGGCAAAATCATTTCTGGGAAGAACACAAGCATCGTAAACAGAACATGTACTAGCACTGTGGTGATAGGATTTCTCCACTTGCAAACTNGGCAATTGGTGGGGGAGGGGAAATGACGAAAGTGATATCATTTGGCAGAGAGAGTAGTGTGTCTTGAGTGAGAAGGAGAGAGAGTTAACTTGGCAGATGAATTGAGCATAGGTGAGAGCTTGACCGATAATGGCGTTGATAGGAAAAGTTGTGGAGAGCGGCAGTGGGGTGAGGAAGGAAGCGTTTGATTCTGGGTATTTTTTTCAAAAGTTTACGTATAGGAGATAAAATGACATAAATACCCTTGATCTGGTTTTTAAATTTACCATTCTATCCTTTTTTTAGTTAAAGTTAACGGACTGGATGGGAAATGTCGTTTTGAAACTTAATGGGTGGAAAATTGTCATTTCGCCAAACTCTGGTGGAAACAGTCGTTCTCCCAAACAAGATATATACTGTTGCATAGTTATCTGTCCCACTAAAGTTTTAAGTACCACCCTTTGGACGAACGTGCTAGCTCTAGGATTATAGAAATTTGTCTAAATATAAAACAAAACTGCTTTAAATTCCCCCAGTGTTCGGCTTAGCTAATAATAAATCAACAATGTGTCGACGATGGTTGCTTTGCTTCGTGAAAAACATTCCTGTACTTAATAAATAACAAATCTCATGAGAATATGATAATTATGCTGCCGCCACAAATCACATCTAATACTAAATGCAAAAGTAATGGTAGTCAATATGCAAACACTTAAAACATGATTCCAGACTTCCAGTTGTTCTTATCCGAGATTCTTTCAATATGAATTAATTGGAAACCACCTTCTTTAGTTGGGCCCAGGAATTGGGTTTTAGCCTTTAGGGGCCTCACTTGGGCTTGGGGTGCGGTGCAATTTGATTGTTAGACTCCAGATTTCCTTCGTAAAGCCTGGAGAAAATATAATGTAGGCTCAGAGAAAAGTTTTTGCGAGCCATGACTGTCCAACGCAATCTTAAACCCGGAAAATCTCATCAAATGGATCAATAATGGGATTCAATTCCAGCGTTGATTTTGCTATAGAACACCAGATTTATATAAATTAACCTTTGATTTCTAGGTTATGCATAACTGTTTACATAAGTCCCAACTTCCACGATGACTAAACCAAAAACACAAGAAGCTTACACCAGAACTTTACAAGAAAGTGCCAATGACTGAAACTTGACTAATTGGCAAGAGACACTTTGCAAGAAGACCCCTATAAACCCATTCACATTTCACAACATACTATCTGTTCTTGATGGAAGGCGTCGGAAGAAATTAATAGGTGCAGAGGGTGTCTTATGCCTGATCCTGGGATGCCTCATCACATAAAACCCGGCTAGAAGAGCAAACACCTGGAAAGGTGTCACATACAACACAATTGCAACCAACAGACAGAATAACAGAAATATGGTTGTTGCACGAGGATCACGCCAACTCAACAATGCCTGAAACCGCTCTCCTTGAGTAGCCACATCACCAACCACTGTCTGTATCTTCCCAGCCACACTCCTCAGCCTGTCATACCTCATCCGAACTATATCTGGACTTCGTGTTGTTGGAAATGTATCAAATTCCTCATCTAGCTCATCTGGGTGCACTGCTTCCGCATAAGAAATTCTTGTGTTCATGTGAGGAGGATATCTTGGTCGAATACGATAATTCCAAAGCCCAATCAGAAACATGTACAGAAACACAGTAGGCAAAATCATTTCTGGGAAGAACACAAGCATCGTAAACAGAACATGTACTAGCACTGTGGTGATAGGATTTCTCCACTTGCAAACTTCCCCAAACCATTTTCCAACAGCAATTAACCCTGAGAAAACTGTCATCAGACGGAAAAAATTTGCCTTGCTGCGCCTCATGCTCCATAGGTGAGAATCCACATCAGACATGTATTCAACTACTTCCTTTTTTAAAGGAGGTTCTGACCTGCTAAGTCGAGCTGCCACAATGTTGACAGCTTGGTGACGCAGCATATCCTGCTGCATTACACTCAGTGGCCTTACATAGTGCATCTTTGGCAACAGAGGTCGTGAGTAAAGATACATCATGTGCGTGAATGATGTGGATGAAAATCGTATAGCCAGATGCAATTCACCCATCTTCTTGACACCAGAGGGATGGAGAACTAGAAGCGGGTAAGTGTGTGTATAAACACGACCAGTTTCAAGAGTGGAGATCCTAATCCGAACCTTACCAATTTTCATGTCTTTGTGACCATTTGAACCAACGTGGCAGCTATCAAAAACCCCCACGGTAAGAACCGTGGCAGTATCAAAAACTTCCCAAGTATACTGTTCATTGTATCTTGGACTCAAGCTGTCAATTATGGTTCGTGTACGAACCCATTTGTGTCCATACTTTGCAACACAATATGTATCTGATGTACCCTTTCCTTCTCTGGTTTTCATTGGGTGGAGCCCATTAGCATTTAGAATTCCAAGTTCCAGGACACCTATAGATGGTTTCCAGAGCTGCTTGGCCGTTGGTCGGAGATCACTGCTGTAATGAGTTGACTCATCGAGGACATGGTATCCTCCATCAAGACACACGCAAACATGGAGTCTACTAGCAAACTTATATTTCTTTTTCTGATCTTCATCCATGGCAGCTGACATGGACTTTTCAATATTGCACCACCGTGAGCGAATAGCTCTATCATCAGCACGCTTCTCAACAGTGTTCAATGGTATAACAACCTTCCCAATGGTCTCATCTTTGTTGGAACCCACACGATCTTCAACTGAAAGAATCAGAGGATCTTCAAAAGGTTCAGCAGCAACAAACATCAAATCCTCATTCCAGACTGGATTCATAGTCCGCGATTGCATAGATTTTGTCTTTAAAATCTGGTTACCAATTTGAACTTTAACATAGGCATCAGGAAACCTATTCTTTTCAGAAACTACAAGGTCCTGTGCTTCAATCACACTGACACGGACATACCACAGTCTTGGAGAGTGATAAACTTTTGAACGGATATGAGTGGAGACATTTGAAGAACTGTCGGTTGGAGTAATAGCATCTGAATGCCAAGCATCAGGAAAAGCTTCATCAGCTTGTGTACCATACCAGACAGCAAGCATTAGTTCCCCTTTTGTTTTCTCTCCTTTCTTGTCTTCAAGGCGATACCATTCCGGAGCCAATGGACTATCAGGTGGAACTCGTGTAGGAACCTCATTCAGATCAAACCGTACACGCCCAACAAAGTCATCCATTAGCGTATCCTTATCCTTGACGGCAACTTCCAGCACAGATGACGGCAACCTGTCCCGTGCAAAGGCAAACACCTCATTCCATTCCGGGTTTTGCTTCTTCTCAAAATACTTTGTCTTTGCCTTGTAGTTCCCGGCCTTTATTTCAACAAATGGATCAAGGCTCCCTGTCACATCCATTGAAGGAAGGTCACGGGCTTTCACAACACGTATAAAAAGGTATCCCATCTGCTCAACAAGATCATAGGTGCTAGCTGGTCTATCACCACGTATAACTCGCCCTCCAACAATTCGCCCACCTCCAAGGAAAGGGCTCGTTTCTTTAAGTGCATAATCAGTCGGTTGTGATGATAACCCAGGGAACGTGTTCATAATTCTAGGAGCCTGTGGTTCAGATCTCATCTCCTGAACCCCATAATTCATCGTGGGCTGTGTTGCTGGTGGGGCAGAATGTTGATGTTGCTGTTGCTGCGATACATTCGGGTTTGGAAGATGTTGAAATGTGTGTCTTTTGTCATTAGAAAAAATGTTTCGGACTGAGAATGGAAGCCGTGATGGTGCTTGAGGTTCAGTTGATCTTGAATCTGTATGCAGAGTGGATTCCATTGCAGGAAGCGGGTTAGAAGATTTGATTGAGGGGTCATCAGTCACAAAAACTTTCAAACCAAGCTCTCCTTTTACACGAGACAAAATGGCGCGTTTCTCCAGAGGATAGTGCAAAACAACAGCATCGGAATAGGGTACAAATGATGTTCCAGTAAGACGAACCTTTCCAAGACAGGCTTTGGGGTTTGTTGTTTTATTTTGGTGATATATATAGGCATCAAGAGTGAGGTTTGATAAGTGGTTTGGATTGGAGATGTTGAAGTAGAAACTTTCATTCCAAACAGGATTGAGATCTTTCTCTTTAACGGTGGTGCGGAATTTCTGACCATCAAAATGGAGCTCTACAAAGGGATTGGCCGAGCCCTGTCCATCCTTGGGCACGAGGTCATGGGCGCTCACAACCTCTACCCCTAGCTTCAGATTACTCATGGGAGTTTATCAATTGAGGAGCTACTGAAGGAAAAGAAAGTAGTTGATTTCAAGAATTGTTAAGTAACACCTGAAAACAAAATTTGAAAAAACACCAATTCAATAAGTAAAACACAATCACCAAAACCTTCACAACTATAGAATTTTAAAATTAAAATTTGTTTTTCAAGAACCAATTGCAAAACAACTAAGTGAACAACACAAAACAACAAAATGAAAAAAAAAAAAAAAAAAAATTCAGTGTAAAATTAACAAGTCAGAGCATAAAGGTGCTATAAGAAACTATAAGGATCAAATCCTAAACCGTATACACTAAACCCTAAAATGAAGGGTCAAACATAACTTTAAACCATAAAAAAATTTAAAAACAAGAGTATCGTCACTGTCTATCCATAGAAAATCAGGGCTTTCACTATTATCTAAAAAAAATAGACATTAAAGCAGAGCACCGCAATGAAAATATCTTAAATTTCAGCGTTCTAACAAGGAAAAGACTAAGGACCCTGGTGAGTAAAACCCTTAAACCTCAATCAAAAATCATTTGAGCATACAGTACAACTAACTTTCAAAATTGATTTTTTTTTTTTTTTTTTTTTTTAACGGGGGAACTAAAAGATACAATTGATTTTTTATTTTATAAATATATAAGTAACAGAAACTGAAGAACAAACAAATCGTTCATATAGACCAAAAAAAAAGGAAAAAAAAAAAAAGGTACAACACCTTCAAGGTTGGTATCAAAATTTACGAATCACAAAAATGAAAAAGAAAAAAGAACTTTTGATAACCAAAAAGTAAGACAAGAATATTTTGAATCTTTCAATTCCTTTTTACCTTTATATCTTGAAAAATAGATAACGTGATTTAGAATCTGACTATTTCATCTACTTTGGTATCTTTGAAGCATAAAAAAAAAGAATCATCAACAAGATCCTCAAGCTTGAAAAAAAGAAAATAGAGAAAGAGAAGCTATTTAATATGAATGAAAGCAAAGCAGAGATACCGAATCAATAACAGAAATAAAATACTTGAAAAAAAAAAAAAAAAAGGTCTAAACTCACCTCTGTACAGTCTCTAACACTTTGCAGAGTTTGCAGATGGTATTGGATTATGAAAAATATTGAAGCGACTTGAGGTTATTATGACCAGAGAAAGAGAGATAGATAACGGAAAAGAGAATAAAGATTTAAACTAAGTACAGAGAAAATGAAATGAAAGGCTACGAAGGTTTCTGGGAAGGTGCTGAGAAATGAGAGATTAAAACAGGAGTCATGAAAAACGAGTTAAAGACTCTGATATTAGTCTCCTCTCCTCCACTGTGTTTTTTCCTCTTGGTTTCTTGTACGATGCTGGTAAGAAACTCCTTCAACGCCTTCCTCGTTCGTTTTGGACTATACGCGCTTTTGTATGTCGACACGTGTCTTCTCTTTGAAAGGAACTGGTAAACCCATTTTAATATTCAAATCTTGACATTTCAAACCCGTTATAGTTAAGAATAATAAATGAGACAACTGATTATTTCCTTTTATATTATGCCTCTTAAATGTAACTTCAGAGAAAAGTAATTAGTGAAATACACGTAATTAGTGGGCGCGTATGTTGAGGAGAAAATAGAATAATAAAATGTTAGGTATGGAAGTGGTGTGATTTGAGCTTATCAGCAACTAGTTAACGTCACCAATCAGGGTAACAATAACAATAACAAACAAAAGTAGGCCCACATTGATGTGTTGATTAAACTAAAAGAAGAAAAGGTAGAAAAGAAAAATATCAGCCTCTGAGAGGGTAGGGTAGGATAATGATTCATAATACTGACGAAGTGGGCCAATGCCACCCAATCCTGTATTGCTTCTTCTTTCTCAGTTAGCAAAGGATTTCATCTTAGTAAACAGATAAAATACCCATAATAATATATAGTTTTAATTGGTAAAGACATAATAAATGTATGTATATTCTATAATTAAGTAGCAAAGATGTTGTGACACCACAGCAGAACATGCTACGTGGAGTATTGGCGTCTCTTAAGTCTTAATTGTTCGAAAAGCAAAAATCCAGGAGGCCTAATTGTTTTTTTTAATGCACTGTACCATCTTCAGCTTTAAAACCACATGCGTAGCTGAGACGGTCATCAAATTTTAATGTTAATATGATACGATTATTTTAATATATAATGTAAACATATGTCTATCTGTCGCGTGTAAAATGAGGTCTACTTTCTTATTTTTATAATTAAATGTAGAATTTCTTTTGTCAAAAATAGGATGATGGTGGGACAAGAACAAGATGGTTAGCGTAGCATATAACTTAGTTTCCTTATTTTTTACGGAGCAAACGACATAATTGATGCGTGTTTCCTACAACATGCAAATGTAACAAGTATACTAGTCACAAAAAATAATAAAGTAATAAGATAGTATCGTTTCCACGAGGATAGTGTTACTAAGTACCGATTTCTCTAGTTTAAGTCCTAATTGAAGAAATGATAAATTGGATTGATAGAAATTGATCAAACTAAATACAAATTAACAAAATAAAAATGAATGATAATGAAATTAAAGCAAAACCCAGAAACTTAACTAATTAAACAATGCTAAAAAAAAAAAAAAATGCTAGGGTGTTGATTTCACCTAAATACGCTAACCCAAATCATAGAATCTATTACCCAAGTTCTAATTCCTTAATTGAAAATCGAATTCCCTAAGTTGTAAAACATACCTTCTCAGGCTACGTTTCCCGACTTATCCCTATTAAGCTTCCGCACTCAACAATTTGAAGATTAATAGTTCAAAGGCTTTAAAGCTTTATGGAATTCTATCTAGATTTCATAGATCGCTAAACCTATCTCTAGCGTTTGCTAATCTACGGTATTTATCCCAAGAGGCACAATCACAAATCACTTCTNAAAAAAAAAAAAAAAAAAGGTGGTCTAAACTCACCTCTGTACAGTGTCTAAAACTTTGCAGAGTTTGCAGATGGTATTGGATTATGAAAAATATTGAAGACGACTTGAGGTTATTATAACCAGAGAAAGAGAGATAGTACGGAGAAAATGAAATGAAAGGCTACGAAGGTTTCTGGGAAGGTGCTGAGAAACGAGAGATAAAAACAGGAGTCATGAAAAACGAGTAAAAGACTCTGAGATTTAGTCTCCTCCTCTGTTTTGTTCCTCTTGGTTCCTTGTACGATGCTGGTAAGAAACTCTTTCAACGCCTTCCTCGTTCGTTTTGGATTATACGCGCTTTTCTATGTCGACACGTGTCTTCTCTTTTAAAGGAACTGTTAAACCCATTTTAATATTCAAATCTTGATATTTCAAACCCGTTATAGTTAAGAATAATAAATGAGACAACTGATTATTTCCTTTTATATCCCAACCCAGAAGATTATGCCCCTTGAATGTAACTTCAGAGAAGAGTAATTAGTGAAATACACGTAATTAGTGGGCGCGTATGTTTAGGAGAAAATAGAATAATAAAATGTTTGGTATGGAAGTGGTGTGATTTGAGCTTATCAGCAACTAGTTAACAACTAATTAGGTCGAATTGGACCCACCCAAAGTTTTTTGTGAAGATAATGTGGTCCTAAAAGATTTGAGAATGACAATTATCCATTTTTTGTTAGGTTATGTTAGTGAAATCCGTTAGAGAAAGGATAAAATAGTAAATTTTTATTTAGTTGAAAAATCTTACGATTTAAAATTATTGTATCTATTTTTAATATGAATTTTCATTATTCTATTTTTATAATTAATTTTAATTAAAATTACACAATAACTCTAACAGCAAACATATCCGCTTTTGCCACCTCTCTTCTCCTTCTGTGTTTTTTTCTTATTCACCTTTCTTCTTTCTTCTCTTCTTTGTTTTGTCTTCATTTCGAATTCGAAAAATCAAAATCAAAATAAACAACAAATCTTGTTCTATGCAATCAAGAAGCCAAGATAAGAGAACGAGAAAATGCGGAGAAAGGATGAGATGAAAAGAGAAAAGAGAGAAAAAAAGAAAGGGAAAAGGCGGAGAAGAGATAAGATGTAAAGAGAGATGAGAAAAAAAAAAGAAGAAGAGAGATAAAATTTAGGGATTTTATAAAATATGAAAAGTCAAAATTACCCTTTAAGTATGAAAGAATATTAATGGGGTGCGTTTAGTTTAGTATTTTGGATAGGATTTTGGGGATAGTATTGGGTTATTGGATAGGGGAGTATTACGAGGTAAATTTTAAAAATTTGTAAAAAAAACCCTTAGGTTTACTAATTTAATTAAAGACCCAAACAGATAAAATGACAAAAACACCCCCACCACCTGTAGTGCTAGATTCCGACCACCACCGCCGGAATCTGGCCGAAAAATTTTGTTACGGCACAAACCGGTTGGATCTGTGCTGTAACACGTCGTTATGGCCTTTTCCGGCCAGATCCATGGTGGATCTGGCCGAAAAAGGCCAGATCTACGGTCTGTTATGGACATCGACGGCCGAAAAATGCCAAACGATGGCCATCTTTGACCGTCGCTGAAGGCCAGATCTGACCTTTTTCGGCCAGATCCGTGGTGGATCTGGCAGGAAAAGGCCACATTGGTGAACTTCCAACCATTTCTGGTCGGAAGTTAGGCCGTTGTACAGATTCCGGCTATCACCGACGGTGGTTGTCGGAATCTGACAAGTTGGGTTAATGGGGGTGTTTTTATTAATTTTTAAACTTTTTTTTCAGGGGGTATTTAGTGAAATTAATAACCTTATGGGGTCTAAAAGTAATTAAAAAAATAGGATAATATTTCTGGAATAATGTGTCAAACATTATTTGGAGAATAGGATCCAAAATATGGATAAAAATACTAAGCCAAACATAGCCAATAATACCATGTCATCTAACAGATTTCACTGACATAACCTTACAAAAAGTGGGTAATTGTCGTTTCCAAACCGTTTGAGTATCAGATTGTCATTACGGAAAACTTTGGGTGGGTATAAGTTGTTCGGCCTAATTAATTATAATTAAATTAAAAGAAGAAAGGGTAGAAAAGAAAAATATCAGTCTCTGAGAGGGCAAGGTAGGATAGGATAACGATTCATAATACTGATGAAGAGGGCCTATTGTTTCTCGTTTCTGAAAAACGTGTTGTCACAGTTTCACAGTTAACAAAGATTTCATCTTAGTAAACAGAAAAAATACCCATAATAATATATAGTTTTAATTGGTAACGACATAATAAATATATGTATATTCTATAATTAAGTAGCAAAGATGTAGTGACACCACAGCAGAGCATGTTACGTGGAGTATTGAATATTGATGTCTCTTACTTGTTCGAAAAGCAAAAATCCAGGAAGCATAATTGTTTTTTTTTAATATTAATATGATACGATTATTTTAATATATAATGTAAACATATGTCTATCTATCGCGTGTAAAATGAGGTCTACTTTCTTATTTTTATAATTAAACGTAGAATTTCTTTTGTCAAAAACAAGTTGATGGTGGGACAAGAACAAGATGGTCAGTGTAGCATATCCATCCTTATTTTATAAGATATGTATTCAATTTCAACAATAAATCAATATAATATAATATAACGGTAAAAGTAAAATTCATCCTTACTTTATAAGATATTCTTCAATTTCAAAAATAAACCAATAGTATAATATAACTCACCTTTACTTTATAAGATATTCTTCAACTTAAAAAATAAATCAATATAATATAACGGCTGTTATTTTTATTTTCATCCCAAAGGGATAAGGTGAGCTTGACTAGGCGTAAGATAAAATTATACATGGTTCATTAATATAAAAATAATATTATTGTGGCTTAATAATAAATTGAATATTATATAATTATTATTTTAATAGTTACACACATGGAATGTATATTTGAGGAAAGTTTATTTCTTAAAAACTTGATCCTAAGCAAAATAAAAGTTATGAGGAAAGGAGAGAGAAACAAATATTCTTAATCAAAGAAATCATCATCAATTAGTATCATGGCTCAAGATATATCTTTTCTAATTAACAGTTTATTATTGTTTTAGAACATATAAAATTCTTAAAATTCAAAGATACTATAATTTAATGTTTCATATAAACTTATTTATACGTGGTATCAGAGAGAGGATCAAGTTTCTAAGAAATAAACTTATTTATATGTGGTATCAGAGAGAGGATCAAGTTTCTAAAAAATAAACTTCCCTCAAATACACGTTTCATAAACATGTGTAAGGGTTAAGATAATAATGGGATAATGTTCAGTTTATTATTAAACCATAATAATATTATTTACATATTAATGA